TGCGGGGGGGGGGGGTCGGCTCCCCACCAGGCTCATTAGCAGTATGGGGTAAGTGGTTCCCATTGCACCCATCCCTGGCTGGTCTCTTGTTCTTGGCTGCTTGGCTTCCCTTCTTCCTGGGTGGCCCATGTCTTTGGGGGGCTCCTTGACACCCCAGTGGGGCTTCACCCCAGGCTGTGCCTCTTTTTCCCAAATTAAAACTTCCTATGTTCCACATTCCTGCGGAGTGCAAGTGCAGTGGGATGGCTACACCGTCGTCGGGGGATCAGAGCAGGGGCATGGGCGGTTTCCACGGGATGGCCGGCACCTTGCTGCTCACCAGAGGGAAAAGCCATGCTGGATCCGGGTGCTGGGCTGGCTCCCGGGGCAGGGACCCACCTTGGGAAGTGGGATGGAGGAGGTGGGCAGTGGCTCACTGAGGGACTGAGCAAGGTGCCCAGGGCAGGGCACCCCAGCCAGGCTGAGCGGTTGCGCCGGAGCAGCCCTGTCCTGCACGGAGGAGAGCGAGGCTGCTGAAACGGGCAAATTTGCCAGCTGAGGCTGCTCAAACATGATCAGAAGTGACAGAGTGGTGAAAAAGTGCCTGGCTGAAAGGGAACAGGACTGGATTTATTGTCACCCTCGGAGCGGAGCAGAGGGAGGCGGCTGCCGCGGTGAGGACAGTGGTGTTTTCCCGCGGTGGTGGCTCGGAGCAGCGCGTGGGTCAGCTTCATCCTCATCTTCCCCTTCCTGAGCTGCTGCTCCTCTCCTCCAGAGCTCCTTTGCGTTGTGCTGAGGGATTACATAGAGGCTTCACAGCCGAAACGGCCCCCAGCGTGATGCAGGAGGGGTGCTGCGCAGGCAGGGCATGGCTTCGGGGGTCGAGATCCCAGGTCCCCTCTTGTCCCAGGTTACAGAGGGACGTGAGGTGACCACAAATGACATGAGCTGTCATGAAGCCATGGTGGGAACATGTCAGTGTCAGACCAGGCCACCAGTTTGGACAAATTGTATTGTGCACTCCCCTCCATCCCCTACAGCTCTCCGTCTTCCCGAAGGCTCCCCGCTGACCCACTGCCCTGCTGTGGTCCTGCCAGGTGCTATGGCACCTCCTGGCTTTCTACCGCCCACTTGGCCGCTGCCATCCCCTTCGCTGAGTGCCTTGCCGGCAGTGTGCAGAACATCCTTTTCAACTTAGAGTAAATGTAGTTTCCATGTTGAGGTGCTCCCTGATGCTGCAGCAAAGGCAGCGTGTGCTGGTGGGCGACGGCTCTTCTCCTTTTCATGGGGGGGGTATCACTTGAGTGGGCTGCCGAGGGCTCAGCTCGTGACAGCTGCCAAAGCGGTTGCGTGCCATGGCTGAGGTGGGAGAGTGGAGGCTGGGGTGGTCTCCCCAGGTTCCTCTCCAGGCCCCCACCGGGCAGGATTAAGTGGCGGGATGTGGGTCTTGGCTGCTCCCCATCCTGCTGCTGCTGCTCAGTCCTCTCCAAGCGGCCCTCGCTCAGCCGGCAGGACCGTGGGCTGGTGCCGCTCAGAAGGCAGAGGACTGCCATTTACAAGCAGTTCTGTTGGCAGCTGCCCAGGCTGGGAAGAAAAACATCAAAAAAAGGGATTTAAGGGTGTTGGGAAGGAAGGTTACCTCCCTGGTGGGTCTCCTCCAGGAGATCGGTGGCTTCAGCCCTTCCCGTGGAGGG